CCGGGCGGCGGTCTTCGTGGCGGCATGCCTGGTGGTCCACCCGGTGGAGGTCCTCGTCCTGGCGGCGCGCCTGGCGGTGGGCCCCTTCCTGGTGGGCCTCCTGGAGGCGGGCCTCGCGGTGCACCGGGCGGAGGAGCGCCTGGAGGTGGTCCTCGTCCTGCACACAAAACAGCCTCATGCAACGTCACAGCTCAAGGTGCAACATCCTACCAGGAGGCGGTGCGCCAATGACACTTACGCCTAGCATACCACGTCGCTCGGCTTCGTTGCCGAACCCAACGCTCTACCTGGTGGTCCGCGCGCGGGTGGCAACCCTGTTTGCACCATCATATCCATGACCCCATCGCAGTTGCGGCTTCGTCGTACCTGGCGGCGGTCCTGGACCCATCGGCGGCGGGCCGGGCGACGCCATCTCGAGGACGCTAGTGATGTTACTCCCGTTACACTTAGGTCGAAACCGACATGTCCGGGTTCAACTCCGGGAAAAAATTACAGTCGAATCGAATGGTATTATTGCTTGCGTTTATGCCAAGAGCGACTCAAAGTCGGGCGTCACGACGAGATGGTTGGCGACCGGCCCCAAGTGCGAAAGCAGACGGTCCTTCGTATCCATCGAGACGAGCTACCGCACCATTTTTATCAGTCGCAAAGTCATTCTGCTGTCCGAATCTACCTCCTCGTAGAACGTCGGCGGCTGAGCCGGTGCAATATCAAACGTCTTGTCACCCAGGACAAGGACCGCTTTGCCCGACTTGTGGATTTGAATCTACTCGCGCCATGAGTCGGAGTCTTGAGATTTAGAGGAGTACCTTGCCCAAGTACCCACTCGGCATCGTGTTGAGCGCATTGTCAAAGAGCTCGAGGCCCTCGGCGTCCTTGTTGGCGGGCTTGACGGGCGCGTCGTCGTCGTCCTTGGTGGCGCTCGAGGGTTTTTTGTCGCATACGGCAGCGTCGTCGGCAGCTGGATGAAGAAGAGGTCGTCGTCCTGCACGATAAAGTTGCCGAGCTAATGGACGAGGTGTCAGGCGTTGCTGGTCGATATATGGATCGTTGCATCTACCTCGTCGCAAAAAACAGCGCCGCCGGCTTCGTCGTCCGTGACGGAAAAGTGCTTGGGCGGACGACCGAACGGGAGGCACATGGGCTGCATCGTCGACTCGATCACTGGTGGCCACTGCATCGTCACGCAACAGTGAGATGGTGAACAGCCATATCAGTGGTTGAGGTACCTGGATCGGCTCCTCGACATCCAAATGCGTGTTGTCAAGGGTCTCGTCCAATACGCTGATACCAATGGCATCGGACGAAACGGGCTTCTTCATCTTGGCGGCACTGACGCTCGACGTGCTCGTGCCCGACGAGCCTGCTGCCATGGACCCTTCAAACGCAACCTAGTGGGCGTTAACTACGTCGTCATAAGAAAGAGGCACCGTACGCGGCCCATCGGAAGCGGCGCGCGGCCACGCCCACCACGGCCGCCGCGACCACGCCCACCATCCCGCTCGGCGCCGCCACGGCCACCGCGGCCGCCGTGCTCGGCTTTGCGATCGCCACGGCCACCCTGGCTAGGGCGCGGGGCCTTGGCCTGCGTCTCGGCCTTGATCTTGGGCTCGGGTGCGTCGGTACCATCGGCCTTGCGGCGCTGGCTCGGTCGGGGCACAAACTAGACACACAGTCAATTATCGTGGCATGCACGGTGCGAGGTCGGAGTACCCGCCGGGCCGCCGCCGAGCTGGCCGCCGATGCGCTGGCGTCGGACGCACGCAGAGAGCTACACGCATAAGAGTTCGGTGATCCACGCTGGTCT